CCATCTGTAGGAAAGCCCACTTGCCAAATGCTCAGTTAACCAACTGGCTACCAGGACCCTGCACTGTTCCTGCAGACAGAGAATCATGCACTGTGCTTTTTTAAAAAACCAGGAAAGGGAATTGCTACACACATTCGGCCTAAAAGCTTCTCAAACACTTGCCACATGACTTAGGACACAGTGCAGAAGGACACCAAGAAAGGCATACATTCTCAAAACATGAGAAGCCTAAAGAATCCCAGACTGAAGAAATAAGGCTTCTCAGAAGAATCTAAAGCAGTAATGAGAATGAATTACATTACATCTCTTTTACCTCTTTTTCTTTTACAACTCTCTTTGGGGAATTCTCTTCCTTTAAATAAAACCAAGTAAACATGTAATAACAAAGGCATTCTCAGCTCAAATCAATGCAAAAATAATCAAACATTAGTTGCGAAAATAATCAATGCTTAGTTGCACAGACAGCTGACAGGGCAATATGAGGGAATTATCGCAGCGTAATTGACACCCTGGTGTGCACTTCTGCTTAATTTAACAGCAAGAACCCAGCTCCCCTATGCGTTTTTATACACACTTAGCAATAGTTGTTTCAACCTAGTGCCTTCCTCGTCGTGATGAGCCTGATCAAAAATCTGTTTGGTGACAACAGATGGTGACGGGGCAAGTATATTCTAAGACATTAAAAAAATTCCATTGATGTCTGTCAAGAGATGCTGAGTTAAAAGTTTTTGAGAAACAACTATGGAGAATTGAAGCAATTATCTCCATATAGAGTCAAATATCTCAAAGCAGTGTGAGTGTACACACAGAGAGACACCCACACATGTGGCCATACATTTTCCTTCTTCTTTAGGTATTAGAAACATATATGGAGACAATTGTTTCAATATGTAACTGATCCCACTAAATGCCTAAAACCCTAACATTAATACATTTATTTCAGCGCTCATTTTTAATTTTACTGCTCTGCAAAGAGTTATAATATGAATGATGTCTACTTGGCGCTTATTATTTCACAGTGAAAATATTTGTATGTAGTCAGCTTCAACACAGATGTCTATCAGTCAGATAAATACTGTCCTATCATCTTGTCCCTGATAGCTTTGCTCCTCTTTACAAATGGATCCTCAAAACACACACAAGGGGGACAATAAATGTGGTCTGCTGAAGTGACAAGGGCCGAGTTAGGAATGGTAACCCCAAGTGCCTGCATTTTAATACCTAACTTGACATCCCCCAAATATGTACTGCTCACCTTTAACCCTTGCTCTTTGGTCTTGTTTGTGCAGTCAGTGGATTCCATGCATATGCAGGCCATAGTATGGAACACTCTAGAAAGCTCAGACCAGGACTCAAGGCAGCTACTGCTCAGATTTGGAGCCATCCTGGGTATGTGCTAAGGGCTGGGACAAATATCTTCCATCATTGTCCTTTTGACCACCAGGAGAAAAAAAGAGGAAGCCCACATGCCAGGAAAGATCAGTGGGATACACTGAAATGACTTGTAACTGCACAGATGACCAGTCAAACAAGACTTCTAAGACAACTGCAACCTCATTTTCATATACTGTATGGGATACGTGAATGCTGGTTTATTTGAAGATGAGTGCAAGAATTCTCACAAGGAAAATCTGTGCAGAGGTGCATTGTTAAAAGTAGCATCTGCTCTTGTTCAAAGTCTATTATATAATGCTTAGTGAAAGCAGAGCCTTTGAAGTCTATGAATAATGTTAGAATTTCTGCTCTACAATGATGTAGGATTGATATGTCTCTACAAAATGCAGTGGAGGGATCACCAAGAATTAGGTGGCCTTCAGGCAAGCCGCTTTCCCCAGTTGCAGCATTACATCTGCAATATGAAGATAATAACACTAACCTGCCTTAAAGTTCTGTTGCAAAAATTACTGAGACAACACATGTGAAGCACATTAAACAAATTGCATAAACACAGTTATAATTTCCCCATCTAGTGGACAAGGCTGGCTCAACACCTGGTAGCTGAAGGAGATGACTGCCTCTAGACCTTTAGTAAATCTCTGTCCTAATTGTTCAAAAGAACTAGCCCAAGAAAGCACATACACCCCACCCACTGCCCATAGGGGTTGGGTGGAATTATTGCTAATGCCAGGTGACCATTTTATGGAGGAGCAAATTTACCCTATCTTGCTCAGAGGAGGGTTTTTGGCCTTCCTCCTTGTGTGAGGAGGAGTGTGGGGCGGGAATCATGTCAATGGTGAGGGTGGCTTCTCATCTTTATATGGCTCATCTCATCTTCCTCATCCTGTGCTTTTGCAATGCCCCAACCACCCTTTAAGCTGTGTATGATTACCCAGCCACCTCTGGGGGGGGGGGGTTAGTGGGAATTTAAGAGTACCTTTCATTGTCCTTGGAGTACACCTTCTGTCTACTCTCTACCATTTGATTCGGGCCATATGTGGATAATTTGGCTTCCAACTGCCTGCCATTTTGTCACAACTTGGCACTTAGGGTACACACCCATGAGGCTCCATGGCTTCTGACCTACTGCTTCACATTCCATTCAGTTCCAGGGAAGCTCCTCCTCTGATGCCCTCTTGCATCTCTGCCTCCCAAAGGCTTGCACAGCTGCTTATTGCAGCAGTCCTGGCTATAAGCTCCCCAGTCAGAAAGAGCCTCTGGGCCTGGCCTGGGGGTGCTTCCCATGCTCCTATGGGGCAGTGTGAGGAGGCACCTCTCTTTGGGGTGGGGCAGCTCAGAGACCAGGGATGGCAGCAGTGGTTGCCTGGAGGACAGCCAAGGAGAGGGGAGAGAAGAGAAGAGGAGATGAGGCTGAGGAAAGACTCCACAAGGGAGGGTGTTTGAAAAAAGGTGAGAGGCTGCCAGCTCTGCAGGCAAGGTGTGACATAACTGGGCTCCTGAGCCCCACAGGGCTGCCACAGAAAGGATGCAGTTGGTCAAGGGAGCTGTGGACTCAGAAACCTCTGCATTATGAGATTAACAGAAGTCATCTTCTGAAAGTAAAAGGATACCAGACTGAAAGCTCACTACGCAAAAGCAAAAATCCAGCATGCCTGACCAGCTTGAGTGTTGTTTGTATCTGGTTCAGAAAATAACAACTAACAGGAAGGGGATGGTCAACGCAAAAAGGATCTGGAAACCTGGAGGAGATTAAATTGTGCATCTGTTTATTTTTAAGAAAATGTTTACATTAACTTTTCGAATTCACCACCACTTATTACTGTTCCCATCTCTCCCAGGTACTGACATTTTCTGTCACTGATAAACAGCTGCTCGGCAGTGATGAATTCCAAGAAAATGAAGCACACCTGCGTTTCTCTGTCCTAACTTGGCAGACCAAATATAGAAGCCCTTATATGTCACCTTGACATTTTCTAATTGCAGTGCTCTTGGAGCCTCCTTTCATGGAAAGAAATGGAAATTTCCCTCCCCCTCTATCATTTCCCTCTAGTGCTGTAATGCTTTCAGATGGTGAGCTCCTTCTGCCTCAGGACAGTATCTGGAGATATATTACCAAGCTTGAAAATTCATACTATAGAATGATTCACAAGGTGTTTATAATAATAACTGAGGAGGCGTTTGAGGGGCTAAAAGAAGACTCATATATAGCTTAATGAAATAAAACATGTGAATAAACAAGCTAAGTTGAAAGAAACCCAGAACAAGTGAGACAATAGCTTTTTATGGAGACAACTTGAAACAGCAATTCTTTCAGAATTGGGTTATCAGGAGTTTCAGGGTTAGACATTTTTAAAAGAGAGAGAGAGAGACAAAAAGAAAAGAACCAAAAGACCTTTCACTGGATCTTTACAGTATTTTAAATGGCAGCTTTCCTTGAAAACAACAGCCACACATCTAACTCCTCCTCTCTAGCATATGACATCACAATATGACACTATGATGCCTGTAGTTTCCTGCCTACAATCCATGTAATTTTTTTAAAATATGAACACCTTTAAAATACCACCCAATTCTGATGATTATTAATTTTTTGCTGTTATTTTGGGTATAAATCCAAATTATATGCAACACTTAGACAATAATTAAAATCCATGACCCTACACTCTTCCATACAAAAAGAGAAACTACCAGCTATTTTCACCCATGCAAACAGCTCATGGAAGAAACAACCTTACATGCTGAATCCAGTACTATGCAATGTCTGGATCAGAACAATCTGCTTTAATTTTATGAATGACATATTTTTTTTTAATGTATTAGAGGCATTCTGCAGTACCTTTTTTGTTCCTCTGGTTCACTTTGGTCTAATTAGGATTTTGATTTGACAATGATAATTTCTTAAAAGAAACCAGGAACTTGAAGGCCATGTGCAATTTTCTGTGGCTTTCTTTCCATTCAATTTATTTGTGTCTTTTCCTCTCCCTACATTACCAATGCATACACATTTTCTATGTCTGCAAAAGAGCAATCTTGAAGCAATGGTATGTAAGAGTGCATTAAGATGCTTTTTGTATAGTGTTTTACTAAGGCATTTATGTATTTATGCAGCCATATTTACAATCAACTTAACTTTTCTTTTTTGAGGTGTTTTATCAGTTTGCATAATTAAAACACAACATACACAAAACTTGAAACTATCATGCATGCAATCAAGTTTCCCTTTATTGCAGTGTACAACTTTGGAAATGCCACCAAATAATTTAGGACTCCAAAATCCAGTGTGAAATTCAGAAGCATCTCTGAATGTTGTGTTGTCTATAGTCCTTCTGTTAATTTTGTGAAATGGGACACACTATTGAGTCAGCCTGGTGCCTAAAGATATATAATGATGGCACCAGATCAGCCCCCCCCCCCCCCCGGGGAGAGCATTCCACAAATTGGGAGCCACTGCAGAAAAGGCCCATTCTCACGTTGCCATCCTCCAGACCTCTAGTGGAGGGGAACACATGAAGAAGGGCTTCAGATGATGATTGAAGGCTTATTTCGCCAGAGACAGAACAATTGGATATTAAGGTTTCAAAATATATTTTTTCTTCTCTTACCTGCTGGTTTACGGGGAAATTCCTGTTGATTTTTTTAATCTATAAAAGTGAATACAGAAATTGATTAATAAATAAGCATATTCAACTATGAAAATCAGGCACATTACACGTCCATTGGCATTGTGATAGATTTACTTTGTGAAACGATTCAAAGCCTACCGAAAGATGCTTACAGAGTTGGTTTTGTGCAGATTTTTAGGGATTCAATATTTCTGAATGTAGTGCATTTCTGAATGTGACAATGGGTGGAATTCAACACTGCGCCATTACAAGTGTTCCATCTGTGCAAGCACATCAGCATGCCAATGGAATAAGCCCAGCTTCCCCTGCACACTGTTCTGGGGGTCTTCCCCAATTATGGGGTTGCATGGAGTGGGGGGGGAGTCCCATTGTGCAAGTGCATTGTGCAGGGCTTCTACAACTATGGTTCATTAAGTGAACTGTGCCCAATGTATGCCTAAGTGTTCTGCAAACCACTGTTTTCCTTTGATTTACTTATACTCTATACATTTCATTTTGTTGCACATTAGGGCTGGTGTTCTTGTAAACCCGAAAACATTTCAGAGCTTGAACCGCTAACATTTACTAACAGAATAAAATATATGTTTGTATTCAAGAGAAAAGTGAACCAGAATTACAGATGAAGCCTTAAACACAAAGTGGATGATCTATAATGGGTCGGCAACGTGCGGCCCATGGGCCAGATGTGGCCCACGAAGACCGTTCTACCGGCCCACGAGCTGCCCCCGAACCGAGCCGCCTGCTCGGTGAGTTCCCCCCCCCACGCTGCACTAAACTGGCGCAGCATGGCACGGAGATTCGCTGAGAGGTGCCAAAAGTCGCATCTGCGTATGTCAGACACCAGAAATCACGTCTGTGCATGTCCAGACGCCAAAAATCGCTTCCGCGTCTGGGCACGTGCAGACGCAATTTCCAGTGCTGCGCTGTGCCAGGCCAGCCCACGGACGATCTCTGTGGGAGTGATCCAGCCCATGGCCAGTAAACCTTGCCGAGCCCTGATCTATAATCAGGTTTCACACGCATCTATTCTATAATGAATCAAGTTATACATTTGGATAGCAACATTGCACAGGTAGTAGTAGATCATCGTTATTAACCAAGCTCATATGAGTTCCAAGAAATAAGGATAACATTCAGTAGATTTATTTTAACAAGGCTTTACATACAATTTCTAGAGCTAACTCTAACTTAAATCAATTGATTTTGTGTCTCAGCAGAAAGTGAACAAAATGTAAGTAAGGCAAGCTTTACAGGAAGGATACTTCAAACACTTTTGGTATAGTATACAAGGCTCTGAAATAAAAGGATATCACATATAAGCATGCCTGTGACATAGGTACTTCTTTATTACAGCATACAAAAATAGGTTCTTTTTCATACCTACATGTGTTCTACCTACATGGAGCCAAAGCACCACAACTCTAGATTGTTAAATGATGTTAGGAACTCACAAAATGCGGAACATAGCATATTTAACAACATAACCTAAAGAGCCATTAAAAGCTAGAGGCTCTATCCCAATGTAATCCAACTCAGATAAATCCATTGAAACTAATGGACTCAGGTCCATTCATTACAATGTATATGATCTGAGATTTAGCTGGTTATAACCATAAATCTTAGCCATTGGTTGCCTGGGCTAATTCTTGATGGCATTTCGGTCTCAGGTCTGGATACTCATGTACAAAATGCACCATGTCATTTGACTTTGAAAGATGGTTATGGCTTCCTTTCCAAATACATGAAAGTGGAAATTAAGAAGACGTCAGGTTCCAACTTATGCTACCTGCATGGAACATGTGTGAACCTTTTATTACACCTGATATAATCAAAATATATTTTGCTGCCTGTACGCAAGCAGTATCTCATAATGGTATTTCATGAGGTATTTCCCAAGAGATCAGAAAGCCTCCTATGTGCAGCAAAACCCATATACGTTAGCCTAATACTTTTATTTAAGGCAACATAAACAGAGGTTTTGATAATGATGTGTTAGTCTGCCTGGATTAATGGACTAGTACAGAGAAGATGGCTCACAATATTCTACCAATCTGAAAACTACTTGGTCAGCTAACAGCATGCAAATTATTTCATCCTCACAGCTTTTGGGAGGCCCCTGCCACCATGTGGCCTCAGTTACCCAGTCAAACCAACAAGCTACTCCTGGAGATCAAGGCTTTGTATCTTGGAGATAAAAGCTTTCTGCACGTATGCAGAAAGTGAATATGGGAAAGCTTTTTGCAGCAATATCCAGAAGTGACAAAGACTCTGCGACATTCTTCCAGAGGTGTGCCAAGAGTGCTAGCAGCACCATCAGCTGTAAACAAAGGGATGAACTGGAACGAAATGCCCACTCTCTCTAGGCATCTCTCACTTGTCAGTAAAATGAAAACACATTTAACAAGATACAGCTTGACCCAAGACTGTCAAGAATGACATAACTCAAATGATTTTCACTTTGGTTTTTTTAAAAAAAGAATATTTTGATGAAGGCAGGATGAATACTGAGGAAATGTAGAGATAATAGTGTGCAAATCTAACACATTTTAACTGTATATTATAGGCAGTATAATTTCCTCTGGCAGCTTTCAGTCAGGAGCATCTACACATAGAAACTTCTAGTTCTGGAAACTATAATATCATGTTTACTACCTAAAATTTACCTTTGTTTGAGATGCAGACATAAAATTGTAAAATCCCAACTGACAAGCCACTTTTCAAAATCATATTATCATTTGATAAGTCACCTATGGAACACTATTTTGAATAAGCAGCATGCTACGGAAGCAAACTTTAAAGTACAAAACATGTGACTCTGTAATGATCAAGAATAGTTTTCAGTGATGTTTTTATTTAGATTTCCCACTCTCATTGTAAATATAGGTCCCATGTCACCCTCATAATGCTGCTTTTCATTTGCAAAGGTGCTACCATTCTGACAAAAAGTTTTACTGAACATGCACTAAAGCAATATGGATCATATCTCTTTGACATATGGTAAATAATTTTTACAGTAATTTGTCTGACTATTCATAGATGGCATTCAGTCTGGAAATTCCAGGGCTACTATAAAGGAAAAAGATTTCTGGCTCTGCAGAAAAAAGCAACAAAATTTCATTGATTTATTAGATAGGCACTGTACATTCATTTCCACAGTCCAGTACCAATTCCTCTTCCTGTGCAATTATCTGCAATGCACTTTAACTGTGCGATCCCGAACATGACGAAGCACAAGTTAAGTCCCACTGAGTGTAGTGTGGCTTACTCTTAAGTGAGTGGGTATAGGATTACTGCTTAAAGCAATCATTACCAAAACAGCCTACAATGTGCAGGTACTGTATTTTTCGCCCTATAGGATGCACTTTTCCCCCTCCAAAAATGAAGGGGAAATGTGTGTGCGTCCTATGGGGCGAATGCAGGCTTTCGCTGAAGCCTGGAGAGCGAGGGGGGTCAGTGCGTACCGACCCCTCTCGCTCTCCAGGCTTCAGGAAGTTATCCGCTAGCTGTGGGAGACACAGCTCTCCCACAGCTAGCGGAGAGCTTGCCTGCACCCAGAAGCTTGGGGCGCGCTGAGCTCAGCACGCCCCAAGCTTCGGACTTTGCACAGCGCTCTGCTAGCCATGGGAGAACCGCGCGAAGTCACGCGGCTCTCCCACGGCTAGCGGATAGCAGCCTGTTCTGGGGGCTGGGGTCGGGGGAAGCTCGGGCTTTCCCCGCCCCAGCCCTGCACCTGGGGGGGAGATAATTTTTTTTCTTTATTTCCCCCCCCCCCAAAAAAAAAAACTAGGTGCGTCCTATGGGCCGGTGCGTCCTATGGGGCGAAATACGGTATTTTTATTCAAAAAAACATAATGCAGACTGAGTGCATATAGGCAGAGAGATAATTTTTGGTTAAAAAAACAACAACTAGACAGTAACCATAAAGCAGGGTAATGATTCTGCTACCTTATGATATATATCAAGTGAGATGGTGAATATTTTCCAGCATAGCAGTGCCAGTCCATGATGCTGTGTCACTGCAATGACCTACGTCAGCCTGCAGCACTGGCAAAGTGCCAGAGAACTGCCACAGGTCGTGACACTGCAATGGCACTAAGGGCATTTTGTCTCCTCTAAATGTTTTTTTTCTTTCCAATTCAGCAACTCAGAAGCTATGCTAGTTAGCTTCTCCATTCAGGTAGTAGATTAATCACATATTACAAATTAACTTTTAAACCAAGTATTTTTGTATTCTTGTAACCATTATTCATGGCTTGAAGTAAGGAAATAACATATGTTTTATTATACTGTTACATGTGCATGTCTATGATATATTTTGTAAACACTTAACCAGATGGGGTTTTCTTTTTTTGAAAAATGCAATAAAATTATTAAAAATGGGAGATGGACATAAAAAGAGGTTCATGATAGCTCAGTTACTTCATGTGCTATGGAAATATTATTATTTACCTATTACATTTCTATTCTCTTTCTTCCATTAGTAACTCAAGGAAATTTACCCAGGGTGCCCAGGCAATCTCCTACCCAGACACTGACAAAGCACATGGTATAGCATAATGTTCCTTCAGGCCCTGGGACCAAGGTTAACTGACTTCTTGTAACAAACAAATAGTATTAATGCTACACAAAGAACCATTCTTCAATTTCATGTTAGCTTTCTTCTCTTGCAAAAGAGGTTCAGTTATTCTGAACATCTGCAGACCACTTTAAAATTTATCTTAAATGATGGTGGGTGCAGCTGGCTGTGTGCCCCCCTTTTCCATTAAGAATGTATCCTGGACTCTAGAGTCTTCTTGACTCTCTGAGCTTCTTGCTCTGAAAAAGCCCCATGAGTGAAGATGCTTCATGATATCTTCCCCTGAGGTGTAACTGAAGTGCAGAAAGCTGGCTACTAAGCACCCAAACTGGTCCACTCACTGGTTTTGTTTTTTAAGGGACTCTCTAAAAAAACACCACCACCACTTTTCCACACTAAAATAAAAGGACTTTCCTTTAAAATCCAACAACAGTTATGCACA